AATATAGTTGTCTAAAGAGATAACCACCCACTGTCCAGCTGTCATGGTCACCTGCTCCTCAACGGTGGGGGCTTCAAGATACGGGGGAGGTGAATCATGAAAGGAGTGCCTGCCAAGTGAGGATGACGTCACTCCTCTAATGAGAGCTGGTAGGATCTGAGGTGGCTAAAGTGGAAGCATATTCATTCGATGATGGAAATCACCATTAAAAAAAATAAGGATGGTCTTTCCCCCAGGCAGCCTAAAATCTACCTTACCTTTCATGATGAAATCTTCACATTTTGGGGAAATCCCTTGGTTTAAGTTAATTACATGAGATATGACTAAGAAACTGATAAAATGTTAGAATTGAAAGGAAAGTCAGAGACCAGCCAGCTCAATCTCTGCCAGAGTAGGAATCCTCTTGATAATATGTCCAGCAAGTGGCTGTCCACCTTCCATGTGACAGTGCCTAGTGAAAGGAAACAAGCACTCCCTCCCAAATGAAGGGGATTTTTTTATATATCTACCTGAAATTGGCCACATTTTCACTTTCTGTTCTGTTGTTAGTTCTGCCCTCTGGGGCCAAGCAGAACAAAACTAATCCCTTCCCTACATGACAGTGCTGCAAATAATCAAAGACATTTATCATATCCTCTCTATGACATCTCTTCCAGGTTAGCTCATTCTGTTACTCAGAGGAAATGGCCATGATGCATTACTCGGTCTCTTCTGCACCCTCCAGATCCATAATGTAACTCATAATGTGTGCCCCACCCCCTGAAGTGAACATAATACTTCATATATGGTTTGATAATGTCAAAGTAAAAGAGAACCACCATTACTCTCTGTCTGTAGTCTTTCTGCCTGTTGTAATTTAGCACAAGGTAAACTAGACCAGGAACCATTTCTGTTTGTCTGTTTGGTAGTGATGGACCCTTTGGGCAATATGGTGAAGACTATGGACCCTTTCTCAGAACAATGGTTGTAAATAAGTGATGGAAATGCTAAATTTCAGTTAGAAGTTAATGAAAATTAAAATGTATTTTTTTCCATCTAAATTTATAGACTCCCCCCAAAATAAATCTACCCACAGACACTTTGAGAGACATTGACCACCAGGTGACCTAGACTATAGCACTATTTCCCCTATTGATCTCCCTGAAGCACTCCCTCTCCTACAAACCCTTCACACAGGTGGCCAAAACACTTCCCCTAAAACACAGGTCTGATCCTATCACTCTTCCCTACCCCCCCCATCTACTCAGGAAACTCCAAAGGTTACCTGTCGCCTTCAAACTAAAATAAAATCTGCTTTTTTTGACTTAGGAAGCTATTGGTCCTTCTCTGCCTTTCCAAGGTGTATGTTTTCTTACACTTTATTACACAGCACACACTCTACAATCCAGCTAAATTCTCCTACTTGCTACTCTCACTCAGAAAACTGTCTCCTTTCTCTGAGCTTCCATTGACTGTCCCATGGGTATGGAATTCTCTCACTTCTCACCACTTTGCAAAGACAGTTCTGTCTGGTTACAATTTCACAGAAAAAGATGCCTCTCCTCGGATAAGCTCATCACTTCTAATCTCATCACTATGCTTCCAATTCAAGCCTGGCTACTGCCTTGATTAGCGTCTCTCCCTCTCTAATTGGAGTGCTAGAGGGTAGAAAACCAAACAGGACTTCCTTTTTTACCCTAAGCATCTCCTCCTGGTTTTAGATCTATAGAACAAGATAGCCTCCCTTTAACCTTCCTCCTTTTCAGTATCCTTTTGAATATTTACTTCCTCCCATTAGATTGTAAACTACTTGAGGGCAGGGACTGTCCCTCTTTGTATTATTTGTATCCCCAGAGTTTAACATAGTTCATGGCATATTGTAGGCACTTAATGTTTATTGAATTGAATTAAATTGGTTTTCTTAGCTTTAGTCAGAAATCAATTTAAACCCCACCTTCTGCAGGAAGCCTATCCTTGTGTCCCCGCCCCCCCAATCCCTGCCTCTCTGAGATGGTAGCCACCTAACTCAGTACATATCTTCTGTGGATCAAAGACTTCCCTATCAGTGTCTGAGTGCAGTTATACTTGCTGCCTTTCTTGGTATCCCTAGCACTTAGTATAGTGTCTGATATATCCCAAGTGCTTAGTAAATGCTTCTGTATTCGTTGGTTCATTGATATGGGCATTTTTTTTGTCTAGGCAATAGGTTTAAGTGACTTTCCCAGGGTCACACAGCTAGCAAGTGTCAAGTATCTGAAGCCAGATTTAAACTCAGATCTTCCGGACTCCAAAGCCAGTGCTCTATCCACTGTGCCACCTGGCTGTCCCAACATAATCTATTTTTGCCTTACACATAACATCACCAAGTTATGTTAAGCTAGTAGGCCACTAAAGCCCTCTGACTTTTTAGAAAATGTGTATTTAGCTGTGGATCCCCAAGTTATGCTCATGTTTTATAAATCCAATTCCCAAGTGTAAGATCTGACATGGATCCTTTGTGAAATCCTGAGTTGTAGACCCCTGGGGATTCCTTAATATCTAGGTCAAAGATTTCCAAGGTGGCTTTCCTATCTAATATTATAAATAGTTCCAAAAGGGTCAACATAAGGCACACAGGCTCAGGGAGGACCCAGATGTTTCTCCCATACAGAACAGCCTCCACCAAGAGAGTGAGGGAGAAGGGATAAGGGCAGGAAATCAAATGAATATACCTTCCTCTCAAAGCTAGAAACTCCATCTGCATAGTATCAAGTATTCGTTTTTTTAATGGGTCCATCCTACAGTGAGAATGAGACTCGACAGAAGGCAACTTATCTATGGAGCGTTACAATGACACCCCTGAGATACTAAAAGAGGGGAAGGAAGGTGTTCAGCACAGTGCATCAATCCAGGGAGGAACGATGAGAAAACATTGCCAAGGGTTGCAGAGAATGAGAAATACCGGAAGGATTGTTCCTGATTCATGGAAGAAAATATTCAGCCTAATAACATTGTAAAGCTTTCAAAATCCAGTAATCCAAAAGACTTTGTTAATCTGGAGTCACCCTTAAGGTTCCCCCACCAAAGACAACCATCATAGCCCAAACATCTGAAGGATGGCTCTTCACCAACAGAACATGTATCTGGAGGGAATGGGTGGAATGAGGGAAATATGGAAGGAAAACATCTCCTATGGGAAATTGCTCAGGGTGGGGCAGGAAGATAAACTAAGCCGCCATGCAAAGGAAAGAACAAATGTAGATGGGATGCGAAGCCAGGTGGATCAGCTTCAAGGATGCTCAAGCCAGTATGTCAGCCACCATGAGGGAGTGAATGAAATGGAGACATCATTTCACAGATTCCGAGAGGAAAAGGTCAAAGGTCTCTGATAGTCATTCGTAAGCCAACTACAATTAGCAAAATTTATAGACATACTAGCCAGAATACCAATGAGTCATCAACAAAGAATCCTAAAACAGGACACCATGGATTAGACCAAAAAAAAAATGAAAGTTAATGACAAAGAGGATATGAATATACATGTTTCAACTAACAGAGGTTGCTCCCGTGGATGGGATGGCTGTGCCATATTAAAAAGGCAAAGGGTAAGGAGAATGATGTATGGACCTTGATTAGGGCTCAAAAATTCTCCATGGGAGACAATGACTGTGGGTGAATTACTATAACATAGCATAGCCATCTCCACACTCCAAGTATCAGAGGTATCTTAATGCCATACTGTGAGAAGTAAATGATTACGCTTTCATATATGGAAATTGAGAGAAAAAGTAGCTCAGGGGTTATGGAACCCACTGGAGGTGGTTGAAGCTGCTTGTTGGGTTGAGGAGGCTGGAAGTAGGAAAAAGATTGAGCTTTTCTTGGAGCGTGCATGCGTAATAGGCTCATTAATACTAACTTCTCCACCCAGAAGGTAGCAATAGCACAGAGCTAGGCAGTTTTTACATGTTATGGGGAGGAGGGCCATATTAAGAAGTGGGAGTATCAAGAAGATTGTAACTGGAAAGAGCAGGGACCTATCCCATCTCTGAAGGAGGGACAAGAAAAAACTAACTCCATAAATTGCTTGCTCTAGAATCTGTGGGTGTGGGTGTCCTTTTCCTTTTTGGGGGGAGCATCACGGACCCAATTCTTTTACAAGAACCATAAATAAATAAGCTTCCCATTGCTCATTTCAGTTTGAGATTTGTTTCTTAAAAGAGGACAGAACTCGGCATGGTATGTTACTAGGGGAGCAGCGAGTGGCTGCTAACCCCACCAAGGAGTGATTGAACCACCTTTCTCACAATACCAAATAATGATCACTGCACTACCAGGGAAGTTGTCCACACTGGAAGGAGGGAGCAACCACAAGCACCAGGAATTTGTCCAGAAGCCAAATGCCCTCTAGTCTATCCTCTAGTGAATGAGTTCTCCTAGAGAATCTGTGTGGCAGAGTTACTGGAAGGAGAGAACCCTAACACTTAGGCTATGAGCTATGCCTTATTTGGAGATACAGCCTTTATCTCTTGGTAGCCATCAGGAGAGTTACCATTGGCAGTCTGCGGAATGGCTGCTGTGACCCTTGCCAGGCCTTGCCCAAGGGCTTAGACTTTTGGGAACCATTGAGGAGCACTGAGAATGTCTCTCCTCCAAGAACAATGCTTTCTACTCACACAGGGTAAAGACAATTGTGAACCACACCGATTAATTAGCATGCGCCCTCAATATCTGGAACTGTCCTGGTCTTTGTTCACCTACTTGGCTCCAGTGTAAGCACTGAAGGTGGGCAGGTTAATGGGGAGAAGCATCTGCAGTTCACAAGTCTTTGGCCCTGGTACTGGACACAGTTTGTATCATTAGTTTTTAACACAGTTCCTGGCACATAGTAGGTTCTTAATAAATGATTGACTGATTAACACTGAATTTGCAAGAAGGCAAGTCCCTCTAAAAAGATCCTGTAGTCACACAGGAAAATGGCAAGCCTATGCTGGTCACCTACTTCTTTCCATGTTAGAAAAAAGGTCCAGAAGTGGGACACTTACCCGAGGCAGTTCTTTGGGGGATGCCAGGAAGCATGAGCAATATAGAGAGCCAGAACAGTTCCATCCTGTCAATATAAGCACAGAAGGAATGTCCTCATTAGTCTCAAGTTCTTCAAAAGCATCTGTCCTGCCCTTAGTCTTCCAATTTCAGACAGCCAAACCAGAAACTTTCCCTTCTTTCCATTTTTTCTGGCTTTTTTCCAAATGTAACCATAGCCTAGAGACAGACACTTTTCTTCAGTGATGAATGGAGTGTCTCAAAATCCCGAATCCACAAGTTTTTGGGAAGCCAAATTCACTCAACATTTACATTAAATGGAAATGAATAAACCTTCAGCTCAACACCCCCCCCCTTTTCTTTTCTTTCCTCATTAGAAAGGAATGTTGGTGAGAGAGGAATTCAATTTCTATGATCTTTATCCTCTCTGTAGCTAGAGTGGCCTGTCAGTATGAACAGTGCCAAGGCCATCTGGGACATGGGCCATAGGACCAAAGGCCTGAGGCACTGACCAGTTCTAAGCAATATATGCAACCTCCCTGGCCTTCACACTGAGTGGAACAACGGAACTCTCTCAAGACCCGAACATTAAAATCAAGGCAATTTCGACTCCTTTCCAACTTTCTCTTGGAGAACTGTAACCAAGTCAACATCATCTTTGCCTCTGGAAAGTATCCGTAGTTCCCAGAGATTCTGTGAAATTTCCTGAAATTCAACTCTTTTTTTCTGTCCACCTCCCTCAGACAGGTGTGGTCTTCCCCTTTAGAATATAAATCAGCGAAGGCAGTGATTGTCTCAATTTTGTGTTTGTAGACTAGTCCTTAGAATAGAGTTTTGCATGAAGGAAAATCTTAATAAATATGAATTCATTACATTCCAAACAAAAAGATATCACCACCCCTTCTATATGGAAAATTCCTATTTCAATATGTTTGCTATGCCTCCTCAATAACGTAGCTAATATGATAGACTTAGAAATACTTCAGTTCAAATTACGTACAGGAAATTACATGGCCTCAAATCTAAAACATTCATATAAAATAATCTTGTGAACCTTCCATTTTATACTCTCACTCTCACCAATATATTTCTAGTTGTGGTGTGGATTCTTCACGAAGAATGAGTTGGGTGTTCCTCAACTTACAAATAAATGCCTGAGCTGCAAACACCTGACATGTGAAAATGACTGGTTTTGCACACTGCTTCTTCTCCCCTATCTATTCCAAGGTCCTTCGGCTATAGCATATGTCCGGTTTTCAAGAGCGCACAACCCAGCTGTTGCGCATCAACATGTTCCTCTGATGTTCATGATGGCTAACCGAATGTTTCTTACTGATTAGAGGAATGCCGTGGTCCTCCTTTTCCCTCAAAACTCTTATTGTGTTATTAATGCTCACAACTCTTAATTCTAGTCTTCTCCAAAGACCTTCTTTTTTTCTCACGTTAAATTCTTGACCAGTTACCATAGAAAATATTTCTTCATCTCCCCACTATTTATAAGCCAATGAGCAATTCTAATCATGGCTAATAATTTTCAGAGGTTAATTAGTCATACACCTGTCTCAAGGAAGAGAAAATGAATAAGATTTTAAAGGAAATTAGATGCCATAATGAAACTGGGTCAGCAACATGTTAAGCCCTTGAAAAGACTCATGAGCATCCTTTTTAATACCTAGCTAAAGCTCCACCTACTCTCTAACCATCAAGCATCACCTTCTAGAGGCTATTTCACCATGCTGAGCCAGTTACCTACCTCATCAGTTAAATGGGAGTGATTATGTCTATTATATCTGCTTCATATGGTGTTGTGAAGAACAAATGAAATTGTAAAATTGAGGTGTTTGCAAACTTTAAACCACGATAGAAGCATAAGTTGTCATTATCATCATCACCTTCATCACTATCATCATCGTCATCATCATCAACCGTCGGTCCATCCCCAGTCCTCCCCAGAGACACTCAGCCCCATAGACAGGGCTTCACAATGAAGTACTGCCTTTCTTTGTCATTGCCCTCAAAGGGATGTTTTTCCTAATAACTCAATGGCCAAAAGAAAGCTTTCCAAGTCATGAATAAAAACAAAAATAATAGCAATAATTTGCCTCCCCATGGTGCTTTGAGATTGACACAAGCCCTCTTCAGGAGACATAGCAGCCCAGAAATCTCCTGCCCACATTCATAAAACACTGAACTATCTCCTGCTTATGTCAGAATAACTATGCTCCCTGGGCAGCTGCATTTCAACCCCAAGCCTGAGGCACCATGGAATACACTAGTCTCTCCAACTGTTTTTGGATCAAAAAAAAGGACCATACTCCTGTATCTGCCAACACCTCCCACCTCTACATTTTCACAGTTTGCCTACTGTGTGCTTTTGAATTCGTCAGGACACACTCCAAAGACATTTTCATTACTGTGATGAATGGCCTTAATTGCTACCCCCAAGAGTTACTGAATGATGCTGAGGGGAGAAAAGAAAAGCACAATTAGACCTGGGGAGAAGCTTTAGATAATTAATGCGTATAAGCACATACTCTCATACACGTACAGTTACTCCCCCTAGGGGATCAATTACAATAAAACGGATAGGTCTTGGCTTCCCTGGACAAACCAAATGAGGTCAAGTTAGTGTGGGCAAACTGAACATTGCTAGACGTTCAGACATTGTTTTTTTCAAACATTAAAAATCCATGCGTACTTCCTCTAGGTACACCTTTACACAAGGGGTCATGGTGAGTGTTTAATAAATGCCTGTTGATTGACTACCTAATGGAATGAGTCGGGAGTACCATAGGGAGTCTATTGAAAACCTGGCAGAGATCAAAATGCCTTGCTATTACTCAATTCAATTCAATAAATCATGTCTTAGGCACTTCCCATAGGAACAAAAAAGTGAAAGCATTCCTGCCCTCAGCTGAGCTCCCATTCTAATGGGGTACCAAATGTGCCCAAAAAATAAATTCAAAGTGAATGTAAATTAAATGCAACGTAACTTCACAAAGGAGAAAAGACTTACAAGTTAGAACCCATGGAAAGGCTCCGAAGGAAGCTGCATTGAAGACTCAGCAGTAGAAAGCTGGGGATTCTAGGATGTGTAGGTGAGGAAGAAGGTCACTCCAGTCATAGGCTGGGTAAGTGAAATGGGGCCACCTTTTCAAAGCCAGTGTAGATGGAACCTAAGGGGCACAGCAGATAGAGTACCGGGCCTGTAGTCAAGACAAACTGAGTTCAAGACAAGTCTTAAACTCTACTCTGGACAAGAGACTAACATGGTTTCTGGACAGGTTGCTTAATCTCTGCCTGCCTTACTTTCCTCAATTATAAAATGGGGGTGATAACAGCACCTATGTCCTAGGGTTATTGTGAGTTCAAAATAAGATAAGGCTTGCAAAGGGCTCTGCAAACCTTAAAGCAGCATGCAAATGCTAGTTGTGATCATGACGATCATGATGATGATGATGGTGGTGGTGGTTTTAGTGGTGGTGATGACGATGATGATGTAAGGACTAGATGCGCACTTTTATCCCTTCCAGTTCTCAAATTCTGCTATACTTTGAGGCAGTTATCACTATTTTGCAGATAAGGAAACAAAGTCTCAGAGAGAGAGAAAGTAACTTGGCCCCCAGTCACAAAATCAGCAAAGGATTATCCCTTTAATAAGTGTTAGCATCTGGATTTGAACCAGGGTGTCTTGACTTTATGTCCAAGTTATGTCCAATTGACCATGGTGCCTCTTCATCTCATTTATTCTCTGTTTTCTCACCTCCAAAATGGGGTAGCTGACCCAGCCTCTCTCTGAAATACTTCCAGCTCACTGGTTCTGTGATTCTCTGAACTTGTCCAGCTGAATTAGTGCACAGTTCACAGACTGCCAGCCAAGCACTCTATCTGTGCTCAAGGGCATCCACTTGGAGTGGAGTTGCTGCACAAATAACCCAGGCTGTGGGCCTTCTTTTAGCTACAGCCTCCTCCTGGCTTTCCTGAGAGACATATTCCATTAGTTATTTCATATTTATTTAAACAGCCACAAGCTGCCAGTGGCTATAGTGAGAACACATATATTATGAACTAGTCCCTCAAGTCTGGAGGAAGTAACTCACCAGAGCAGGAACACCGCTTCATTTTTATTCTGAAACCTTAAATAGTTGAATGTGTACGCTATTTTACTTGTGGTAATAATAATAACTACAATAACAATAATAATGATGATCATTGAACATTCTGGTAAAATATGCTGATGTGTAAATGAAGTAAAGAATGTGGGGAGGGCCCAGGTTTTTGCCAGTGAGAGACCATTGAATTCCGAATCGGAAAATGGCTGGAGGACTGCAGCTTCTGCACTTTGTGGCTTCTAAGAGGTTGAAGGGATCTCAGAGGCCATCCAGTCTGTCCTGCAGGTGAATCACCATGGGAGCCTATCACTGGGGCTAGAAGGGACCTCGGAAGTCACTGACTGTAATATCCTCATTTAACAGATGAGAAAACTCCATTCCTATGGAGAGGAAGGGCCTTGCTTATGGTCACACAGGTTGTGAGCAGCCCAAGCAGAATTTAAACCCCAGTCTTCTGACTGCAAATACAGTGCCCTTTCCACTTATACCACAAGACTCTCCACTATAACATTCCAATAGGTGGTTGTGCTGGCTTTGATAGAAGACCTGAAAGGAAGGGGAACCTGCTAACCTCCTCAGGTGTGCCCCATTGCACTTCAGGAAAGTGCTAATCTTTAGGAAGAGTCATCCCTTGTCCCCCCCTTTTATATACCAAGTCTAAATTTTCCTTTTTAAAAAGATTATATATTTATTGTTCTCCCCAGTTTGTGATCTTCAGCAAACTCATTTAACTCTCTGGGCCTCAGGTTCTTCATCTGTAAAATCAGTAGATGTGGCCTTGTTAGGTACACTCCAAAACATCATGATACCAATTAGACCCTAATCATGAGTTGTCCTCACCTCTTCCCTCTCCCCCACTGCCCACATCCAATAAGCTTTCAAGACTTGTTGATTCAACTCAATAGAATCTCTTGTCCCCATCCATTTCTCTTTGCAACAACACACTGCCTATAAGCTTGTGAATGCCAAAATGAGTAACTGAAAATTTTGGAATATTTATGTTAAAAAATAAGGATGAGATAACAATTATCTAATCCTAATTCAATGCATACTAATTATTTAATGTCAAATGATTTTTTGAGGCTTAGAAAAAAGAGGAAACAAAGGACCTAGATGGGATAAAGGGGAAAAGAGAAGGAGTTGGCTTGAGTAGAGTGATAGAGTCTGTTTGTCTAAGGGAAAAAAGAGAGATAAATAATATATCCTAAGTGGAAGAGAAACCTGGAAGTTTAATGAAGCCATTAATTTAATACAGAAAAGGACAAAGAGTCACTTGCAAGCTTTCAAGAAGAGGATGATGTGAAATCATGTCCAATTAAGAAAGGCCTGGCTGCCTCCAAGGGCCTGAAAGCTGGCAAGGGAGAGGAAGAGTGGAGAGGAGGAGAAGAATCTCATCCTGAGTAAAACTCTCCTCTTTCTCCAACATAAGTCACTCTCCCTCTTCATACCTCCATTTTCACACCAATAAAAATAAGCTGCTACCACTTCACAGTGTGAACTTGTTAAAGCTGGGATAGGGACAAGGCCAACCTGGAAGGAGGGTCTCCAGGGTGCTCAGACTAGAGGAAGGTTTAAGTGATTTCTCCACAAATCACTGCAAATGAACTAGCATGAAAGAAAGTAACCTTCAAGTCCATTATACTCAGAATCAAGAAACTGGCATTCCAAGGAATTCTTCATTCTACTCTCCAAGAATTGGTTGTCCAGGGAGGTGGGAGGCTCACAGTGGTCGTACAACTAAGCAGCTACCCTTAGACTCCAGATCTCCCAAACCCCAGCCTTCCACCTTCTCTGGCACCCTGTAGGGATTCATCAATTCAACAAACCCCTGCTCAGGCCTCCTCTTTGTCAGTAACTATAGGGATTATGAGCTAAGGCTAAGACAAGTCTGCCCTTTAGCATCTGACAATCTATTTGGAGACAAAAGACACACATATGAAACTGAGGCCAGTACAAGACCATCAATAATCACATGATAAATTAAAAATATCACATATAAAATATATCATATATCAATAATCATATAAAAGAATCATATATAAAAATTTCTTTTGTAGACCATGCTAGGTTCAAGAGCCATCCTCAATTTTAGCTCTGTCATTTTCCCCTCCCTCATATCAAACCAGCTGCCAAGCCTCATTGTTTCTGCCTCCACAACATGGAAGCCAATGTTCTGGCACTTTTCATCTCTTACCTGGAGTACAACAACATATTGCCTTTGGACTAGACTGTCCTTCCCAGACATCAGAATCATCCACAAGAAGCCCAGGTCTGACTATGTCACTACTCTTTCAATAGCTCCAGTGATTCCCTCTTCCCTCTTGGATAAAGGACAAACACTTGGTTTGAGGTTAAAAGCCCTTCACAGGCTGCCTCTAACCTGGCTTCCTAAACTTCCCCCCTATTTCTCTCCTTTACAGGGTCAGCATTCCAGGTAAACTTGCCTACATGGTGTTCCCCAAACCCAGCATTCCACGTTGCCCCTCCTCACCCACCCAGCACATGCCTGTCTTTTCACCCAAGCCATCTCTCCTCAATGTTTGGAATACGTCCCTGCCTCAGCTCCACCTCTTGGAATCTTGAGCTTCATCATGGCCCAGCTAGGTGACCCTCACACCTCAGGAAGCCTTTTCTGATTCCCATCTCCCTACCCTAGTAAGCCCATTCCCTCCAAATGGACTCACATTTACAATGTAGTGCATATTCACTTAGATGATTATTTTCCCAGTGGAAAGTAAGCCTCCTACACCCTCCACTCCCTCCTGCACATGGCAAATGCTTCCTTTTTTTTCTTGGTGGTTTCGGTGCCTGGCACGCAGCAGGCACCTAATAAATGTTTGTTGATTCAGTGGTTGTTCTGCCTGTTTGGTAATGCTTTCTTCTTCCTAAAACTCTAAAGGACAAAGTTATACACATGCAGGTTGCAATCCCCCTAAAGAATGTGGGCTCCAGGTAGTGATCATTTTCTCCATGATCTTCAGTGCATAGCACACTGTCTCCTCCATAGGAAGTAGTTATTAAATGCTTTTTGTATGTAATTGAATATAAAACACTCCTAGTCACAGGCCACAGGGATTGAGGCAAAGAGGGGAAAAAAAGACTCCTTTGCTTTCATGAAGCTTTGTCAGAAGGTTTTTACCTGGGCACTCAGAAGGTGATAAAGAGCCCATTCCAGCAAATGTAGGAATGAGGTGTCTAAGCTGTAGTCCCCAGGCTCCAGGGCCTCTTAAGTCTCTCTATCTACCCACTTAAAGCTAGTATCCCACCAAGCCCTTCTGCCTTGGCATCATCTGCCTTCCCTTGAGGCAGAATTTTACTCAGCAGATTTTTCTTTTTTTTTTTTATATTGGAAGAATGATTGTATTCCTCCAGGCTTGATGATCAGATGAAATCAACACCAGAGCTCCCACCCATCTTGACCATCACAGCTGCTCAAGGAGGCAGCCTTCATTAACTGAGGCCCTCAATTTCTGGTGACTCATCTTTCTCAATAAAAAAAAATGTACCTAAACATGCCTTCCAACCCTAAGAGGTGCATGCCTAGGGGAAGCAGTATCCCTAGGGGAAACAGCCTGGCCTTGTCCATGTTACCACAAGATCCTTGCACCAGAGTACAGCAGACTTCAATCCAGCACGGGACCCAGCATCCTTAAGGCTGGAGGTGCCACACAGGCAGCCACAGGGGAGTGCAGCCAAGCCAGATCAAAAGATAAATGGGAAATAGTTAACCAGACAAAGAAAAGTACAACAAAACACAGACATTGCATTTTAAAACTAAGATGATATGTTTCCTCTAAAGATCCTTATGTTCAGATTGGTGGCCCTGTTTCTGTTTTAGATTGATACCACTGCTGTAGACTTACGAAGACTTCAAGGCTTATGAAGGCTTTTGACTTTAAGAGTCAAAAGTCAATAAACATTAAGCACATACTATAGGTAAAAGACAGTCCTTGGCCTCAAGAAGCTTTCAGTCTAATGAGAGAGACCAGAAGAAGCTAAAAAGTAGGGCGAGACAGGGAAGTCAATTGTCTACATGCATCAGTGTCCTCATCTGTGCAATGGGT